GAAACAGTTTTAAAAATTAATTGTGTGAAAAAGAGAAACTTTCCGCTGATTGACCCAACAATACTCATAGAAATGCAAGCTAAATGAATCACAGTAGAAACCAGTGCTCTCCTGACATTTTTGTTCACAGTAATAGTTCTCATTCTCAAGTCCTTTTCTGTTCTTTCCCACTTCCAGTGTCCCTTCCACAGTTTTGTGTAAAAAGGGCATGATAATTTTCAACACATTTTTTGAATAGTTTTTATGTCTGAAAAAGTGCTATTTCCATTCCCTTCTGCACTGTTTTCCATTTTTATTGCTTTATGTTTTAAAGACAAACAAGGAAAGTAGATGATCCACAGTATTCTAGACATTGTGACATCTCTCTTTTTTTGGTTTTCCAAAACTATGAAACCTAATTATTGCAGAAATATAATTTTATTTAGGAAAAAAAAAAACACAGCAACAATTTTGTACAAAAGTTTTTCATTTGAATTTTGATGTATAACTGCTTTACTATACTACAGATTCAAAAGATTGCTAAACACTGACAATTTAGTAAGTGCTTTGAGCTCTCATAAAAATAGAGTTTGGCATGCTTCTCTTGGATATTTTAAGGAGCAAGTCTGAGAATATTTTAATGACATAAATATTTGGAATATTTTTTCCATATCAGCATTAAGGCACAAGAAAATGCCTGTTTGAAGCGTTTGCACCAACAGAGTGAAAGATTGTTACCACTGCGTTCCTTCTCACTCTAAATTAGTTGACAATTTGGGCTGATTAATTACTTAATTATCTTGCTATATCAAAACCTCTTGTTTTACATTAATTTCAGCAAAAACACCGTTAAATGCCACCGTTCCCATGCTCACAGCTCCCCCTAGATCTGTGGTTCACTCCTTTCCCATGTGTGTGGGTCTTGCGGTGCAATTTTATTGCAAGCCAGGAGATGGAGGGAAGCGCTCCCTGACCAGACACAGAGCCTGGGCACAGGGGGAGGCAAAGCAAAACCCACCCTCCATGGCTGGTTGGCTGCCCCTCTGCAGCAGGGCACACCTGCTCAGGGCAGGAGAACCCAGCCCCAGGGGTTCCCCCAGAGCTTTGCAGGTTGCTGCCAGGGAGCTGCCTTGAGGCAAAGCAAAACCCACCCTCCATGGCTGGTTGGCTGCCCCTCTGCAGCAGGGCACACCTGATCAGGGCAGGAGAACCCCAGCCCCAGGGGTTCCCCCAGGGCTTTGCAGGTTGCTGCCAGGAAGCTGCCTCTGGAACAAGCACTTGAAGTAGAGCTGCCACTCCAGAAAATGCTCTTGAGTTTTGGCCCTGTGTTACTCAAGAGTGTGGAGCATGGAAGGAGAGCCCTGTGTGCATGCATGGATGGCCTTGGACTGAGTGCCCCTAATGAGCTGGCTGCCAGACTTCTTTATGACAACGAGTTGTACATATGTAACATGGGTTTGTTCCCCTAAATTTTACCTTCCTATAAAATGCATATGTGTCAAGACAGTAGTTACCAAAGCCTAAACCTTCACTCCTCAAAGAGAAGTGCCTGGCTCTGTGCATCTCAGGAGGGTGAAGGCCTCTTTCACAGACCAGTATTTGGGACCTATTATGTCTTTTCCACTTTTCACCAGCTCTGAAGAATTGGACCTGACTCCTCTCCTAAACATATCCTCTCAACACTCTCCAGTGATTTCTCTCTTAGCCTGATCATTGTTTCTGCACTTTTTTAGTTGTCAAACTCTCTTTTTATAGCAAAGAGACCCTTGTAGTGCAAAACCTCAGTCCGTATATGAGAGCAGCCTCAAAAAAAAAATTTATAAAAGATCTGAGTTGTATGCACCCATTTTGTTTTTTGTGCACACAACATAATGAAGTAGCTAACCCAGGTCATCAGAAGAATTTGCAATAGCATCTTAACCCACCTTGTTGCATGTGCCCTCGAGGCACCCAGCCTAGCTGGACTTTATCTGGTGGTCATCACAATAATGCTTTTTTACATTTAGCAGTATCACTGTTTTAAAAGGCTGCATGGTCCTTTGTGGAGCAAAAATTGATGCTTCTCATCTGTGAGTCTGGTACAGCCAATAGAAGGTGTTTACTTAAAACACTTTTTCAATAGTTGTATCTTGCAAATAGCTGTTAGCCGGTGAGCTAACAGATAGATAGATTAAACCTGTTTGTTCAGTAATCATGACTAGGCTGGTAGATACACAACATGTCACTCTGTCTACATTATACCTTTCCAAGGAAATCTTACATGCTGCTGTAACCAACATATACTTATGTATTTTGCTATATTTTAAAAGCTTACGGGATGTAGACTACATGGTGTCTTTTGTTCTTTGCTTAGATAATACTGGGCCACTCACAATATGACTGTAACATTTAATCAAACAAGTAAACGTACTTAAAATCAATTCAATTTACCTATAAATATGGCCCATTAAGCCAGTATGGGAGCTACAGCCACGATTTTATTCTCTATGTGGATGACAAAATAAACAGTTTGAGCTACTATTCACACCAACAGCTGCCACTGAGTCAAACAGCCCAGAATGCTGTCCATCACACCAGCATGCCCCAGTAACACACTTCTGGAGCTTCTGGAGGCTCCTCCAGCTGTGGATTAAAAGCCTGTTCTCTCAAAATTTGTGTTACCCAGAACTGTAATGGTGGTGAAGATGATCAGCTGCCTTCTGAAATGATCTTTAAAAGGAAGAAGTGCCACTCAAACAGTAGAAAACAAACGAGTGTCAGGAGCAGACTTCTACCCAGAATGAAGTGACAAAGGTAAGAGAAGAGATTTTTAAAAGTATGCTTCTTTGTATTTCCATTTTATTAATTTTAACCTTTGTGACTATATCTGGAAGGAAAATATTATGCTTTCTTCTTCAAAACTTCTTCAGAGTTCAGCTCACCTGAACAGTTTGCCACATGTGTTTTGATTTATTTAGTTTCCATGTAATGCAAAGCCACATAGTTGATCTCAGTTTTTTCTATCCTTTGGCTGGAGTTTCTACTTTCTGTTATCAAAAAAAAAAATCGTCTCCTGATTTTTTTTTTATTTAAGAAGACCTGTTTTCAGGGCAGATGGTATTTCTTTAAGGCTAAACAGTTGATCTATCAGAAAACAGAGGGAAGTTATTAATCTTTTAAATCTAAAGGAAAATTAGAGATAGCATGTTAATTCTTTTTGATTGACTTCATAGACTGTTTTAACACAATCATTTAATTTATTTATACTTTAATACAGAACAAATGAAGTTCAAAATCTATGTGACACATTTACAATGATGCCCAGTAGATACCTTTAAATTGGTGTTTAAGTCTTTCTACTGTGAAAATTGAAAATTTGAGTTAGTAAATAGTCATCTGGCCTCAGGTACAAATGTGCTGAAAGAAGGAATGACAGGCAGGAAAAGAAACATGAAGAGATTGACAAAAATGGAAAGAAAATGTATATGAAGTGATAATTAAAATGAGGTGAAACAGAGCAGAGATGGTGTTAAACATTAGTCAGCAGAAAAAAGGGGAAGTGAAAAGCACCCCAAACAGTACATAAATATATTCACACTGTGTATGTTCCCCACTCCTGAGAGTGACTTTGGGTAAACCTTGTCCCTGGCACTTGGGTGCCACTGCCTGGCCCTACTTGCAAAATCCGTCTGTATAACATAGGCTGGTTGCTAGTTGCAGCTGTCAAGGTTTTGCTATCTATAGTTCTTTGTCTATGTTCATTCAGTTTCCAGTGCCATGGTGGGCTTGTAATTACATTTGGTTTAGTATGGGAAAGAAATTATTTTTTAAATTGTGTTCTATCCAGAATAACCAGAGGCAGCTAAATCCCAAAGCAAGTGGATTAAATCAGTACTGGCTGTATTGCCATGTCAATATTTTTCTGACAACCATTTCGTACCATAATGATAGTGGTACTGAACAACATATGCTAATGATCTCTATTTTTTCATAATAACACTATGTTTCTGTTATTTAAAAGAAAGATTTTTCAAAAATAAATATTGCTTGCCAAGTGCATAAAGTACTGTCATTAAAAGTTTTCATAAAAAGAGCGACTTGCAAGAGGGACATGCTACTGCCTACACAAGAGGACAGCGGTGTTTGTGTCCTTGGATGCAAACTAAACTTATGTTCTGAGAATGCTTATCTCCATGTTTGTGCCTTAGCCAAAAAGCCAGACAAATATAGTAAATACACATAGTAATGCTATATGCCTAGCACTGAAAAAAAACTAGAGCTCAACAGAAAAAACCCATTTGCTTATACAGCAGATAATGTTTTAGATTAGTCAGATTCTTCCATTTTATTTTGTCAGCAAAAGGGCAGATTTTTTTTTTCTTTTCTGAGATCTTTTTCTTGCATCTCTATTTACAGCTAGAGCCTGCAAGGATCTTCCAGTAAAACTTGATCTGTCCAGTCATCACTATCAGAGCAGGGCTGGAGGAGAGGTCACGCATGGATTCTTCAGCTTTAGCCCTTCTGTTTTAGATTTAGACTCGTAGGTTTTAGATTTCTGTATCCAAAAAGAAGTTGAGGGAACTTCAGAATTTAAAATTACTGAATTTCAAGAGCAAAGTGGAGATAGAGTACTCCAGCTAATATAGATGAAGACTAGAACTGAAAAGAGAAACAGGTGATATTGAAAAGGGCTTTTCATCTGCCCACTGGACAAGGCACTGCCCAGCACAAGCCTCTCAAAGTCACTGCTATCCTGGTGTGAGGACAACCCATTATGCAGCTTATTTTATCAAAGGAGATTCCCATTTTCAGGGAAGTCAGATGATAAAAGTGTCATTTTGCTAAAAGTAATTACAAAATACTTTCATCCTTCATAAATAATGAAATGTGAATTTCCTGCACATCCAACCAAATGAAGGTGTTTACAATGCTCTTTTATTTTCCTCTCTGCAGCTCTTCCCATCTAGAAAGTGGAAAATTAGTCATAAACATACCTTAGAATTGGGAAAAACAGTACATGTGCTACATAGCTACGTGGATGTGAGACCCCAGTAAGGATGCAATTGTGCTGTGAATCCGTAAATGGCTCTTGCATAAGAAGCACCTGGTCAAACAGCATCCGTATCTCCATGTACATCTTCATGGTTTGCATTATTCTGGCCACAGTGGTTGGAAATCTGACAGTTATCATCTCAATATCACATTTCAAGCAGCTTCACACGCCTACAAATTTCCTGATACTTTCAATGGCTATGGTAGACTTCCTGCTGGGATTCTTCATCATGCCTTGCAGTATGGTGCGCTCTGTTGAGCACTGCTGGTATTTTGGGGAGTTCTTCTGCAAGATCCACTCAAGCATGGATATTATGCTGAGCACAGCTTCTATCTTCCATCTTTCCTTCATATCCATAGACCGCTACTATGCTGTGTGTGACCCTTTAAGATACAAATCAAAGATAAATACTTTTGTCATCGTGGTCATGGTATGTATAAGCTGGATTGTCCCTGCTGCTTTTGCTTTTGGGATGATTTTTCTAGACCTAAACTTGAAAGGGGCAGAAAAGATTTATAATCATGTCTACTGTGCAGGAGGATGCTTTCTCATTTTTAGTGAAACTTCAGGAATTGTGGCCTCCATAGTGTCTTTTTACATCCCTGGATTTGTTATGCTGTACATCTATAGGAAAATATACTCTGTAGCCAAAAAGCAGGCAAGATCCATCAATGCAATTAGCAGAAAAAAAATGCAATTTGAAATGAAGCACCACATTTCATTCTGCAGAGAAAGGAAAGCTGCTAAGACTTTAGGCATCATAATGGGAGCATTTCTCATCTGCTGGACTCCATTCTTCTTCTTTACAGCTACCAATCCATTTATGAATTACGTGATACCTCCTGTTCTCATTGATGCTTTGGTTTGGTTTGGCTATTTAAATTCTACTCTTAACCCAATTGTTTATGCATTTTTTTACATGTGGTTTCGCAGGGCATTGAAGATTATTATGTTTGGAAAAGTTTTTAAACAGGACTCTTCCAGGACTCATTTGTTCTCAGACTAACATGTTTTAAACTGTTGGATTCATGCTGGAGGCTGAACTCCCAGATATAAGAGCTGTGAAGGAAGGAAATTCCTTCCAAAATTTTTTTGCCTATTTACAAAATGTAGTTTAAGCAGATAAGCAACCATTGTGCTTTACGTATTCTTTCATTCCAGATTAGATTTCATATGTGGTGTTTTGATTGTATCTATTTATTTGCAATGCACAGAAGAGCAAGAGTTGCATTTAAAAAAACTTACAGCAGTTTATATCTCATAATTCAAATCTTCATAATTAAAAAAATATTCTGATGCAACAGATTAATTTCTTGAATAAGGTATGTTTATATTATAATATTTGTGTTCATTTGTTCTCACAACAACAAGCTTGTGTTGCTCTTTCTCTTTCCATTTCAGCTAGTACTTGTCACTTATGAGTTTGCCACTTAAAGGCTTTGCTGCTTAATGAGATCAAAAGCGTGTTTAACAAGATCAAAGACAAGAAAAAATACGAAGTTTGAAGTGAAAAGCAATTGCAAAAAAGCTGCATTGCACCTGAGAATGCCAGAAAATGATGTCTATCTAATGAATGTTTAGATGTAAAACATTATTTGCTAAGTTGCTTCTTAGAGAACTTTTTTTTAGCTTGGGCGTGTTGTTATTTTGTCTCATGGCAATGCTGTAAGAGCTTTCGAGGAAAGCATATAGAGAATTGTGAAGAAATCCTGCGGTTGAACTCAGCTGAATCATGAAGGAACAGTACTGGGAGTGGGCAGGAAATGATCAGTATCTAAGAGACCATGGAGAGAAATTGATGATTCTATACTGAAGTAAGAGCTACACTCAGCAGAATGTCCTCCATTCGTGTTCCTTGTAAAAGTGCATCATATTTGTATCTTGTCTTTGTTTTTTGTACTTTATGGAGTACTGAAGCACTCTATGCTGAAAAGATTAAAATTGAATGATTATACATTTCAGCAGGGCAAAGTATCAGGATCTGAAATTGTGTATATTACTGTTTCATTGCCATTTTGTAAAGTTTGCCCTCCTAAAAATGGCATAAAAAGGAACAATGAAATGTACACCACATCAGCACTTCTACTCTGGTTCCTTGCTAATGACAACATGACTGCTTTAATATGTAATCTCACAAAAATAAAGCAAAATAAATTTTTAAAAAATCTCTTTCTAATAAATAATAGGTAATTATTTTCTTCCTTCATTTCCAGTGAGTCTGGCCCAGCTGTAATTAACATTCTCACCCTCACAGTGTTACTTTCTGAAATAAAATGTGTGATCACTTCCACACTTTGATCTCTCATGAAGTAACAATTTCAGAAGTGCTGCCAGGTGATACCTCCTTTTGTCTGGTCATAACTTAGATTGAAGGAAAGATAGATCCTCTATGTCAAATACAATCTAAGGCATTTTAAAGTATAGTAAAATCAGCACATGATAATGTAGTCCCTTCGGGAAGTAAACAAAGCTGTTTCTTTCCCTTTATTCCTTACAATCCTATCTCCCTGAAAATCTGGAAATATTACTGTGTTTCCAGACAATTTCAGCTGTACAGCTGAAATTTCAGCTGCAAGCTGTAGAGCTTGCAGTTGGTAATTTTCTTTTCATAACCTGTGGTATCTCTCAGGCATTGTTTTCTGGTTGCAGGAGGAGTTTATGAATGAGTAGGATTGCTTGCAGGACAGACTGTCGTTCAAATAGAGCATGTCCCTGCGGACAGTGCCTGGACCCTACTGCAAAGCTAATTCTTATAAACACATAGAAGCCATAGCCACATTCCTGAAGTGAGAAAAATTGCTGATAAAAATAGTCTAATAGGTAGAGCAAAAGCCATGCATGCAAGTAAAGCAAATTAAGGAACATATCACTACTTCTCACCCACAAAGCAGTTTTTCAGCCATTTTGAGGAAAGCAGGGCTCCACCTTGTGTAATAGTTATTTGGAAAAAAAAAACCACTATAACTCCCAACACCCCAGTTCCTCCTTCTTCACCCAAGGTTTTTATTGCTGAGCACATCATATGGTGTGGAGTATCTCTCTGGTCAGCTGGGTTCAGATGTTGCGTCCCAAACTGCTGTGCACCCCCAGACTACTCAAACCTTGATACTGTGTAAGCACTGCTCAGTCTTAGCTTAAATGGGGATTGTGTGTGTTATCAACACTGCTTGCATCACAAATCCAAACCACAACACCACACAAACTACTAAAAAGAAAATTAACCCTTTCCCAGCCAAAACCAGTAGAGAGGGCATCCAAACATTGTGGCTGGATAGGACCACCATAATCCATTTAGTGTAAGGGGAAATAGTAAAAGAAATTTTCAGTGTACACATGAAAAACTCTCTGGGCAAGCCAGTCTAGCCAAGGTGTCACCAATACTTATGCTCTGCAGAAGAAGGTGCTTCCACATACAGATTGCTGGTGTGCTTCACTTACCCCTAGAAGGCTGTCTTCTTTGTTCTTAATAAACTAAAATATAAGCCAGCCTTGTGCATGGCCCAGCTCAGAAAGTTTCAGAAATACCTTTTTCCTCCAGTGTCCTATTACTTAAAGGTGGCACTTTCCCAAAGAGCCTCCTTGTCTTCTATTTACTGAGAGCGTTGTCTGGCACAGTGACTGTAATGAAGTCCCAGGTTATTTTCTCTCATTAGCTCTAATCACAGACTGTGTAAGGCTATTTCCCAGGGTCAGGGTGAGGCAAGTTAGATGTGTTAATGAGGCCACAGGGACTCTATTTGAACCCAAGACATGAATAAATTAGGAAAGCATAAGAAAAATGCCTGATGCTGTTGTCTAATCAGATTATGAGTTAAATCTGGTGGAGCAGAATATACCTTACTGCAATCTCAAAGGATCATAAGGCAAATGAAGTGCAAAGGGTATTGTCAAATTCCCTATCAACACATTTAATTAGTGACCTTGTTAAACACTTTACTTTGCAAAACAAATTATTCTCCTGTTGATGATTTCAAATATTTTGACTTCCCCAAAAACTTGTGCAATGCAATTATTCCAGAAAGGCTCTGTTTCACCAGTAAACTTACATCTGTTCCTTTTGTCACCAGTGAGGACCATTTGCAATGTTACCTTCTTTCCACGCTTTGTACAAAACTGACAGCAACTTTCAGAGTCCTAAACTGCTGCCTGTATCCTGCCTTAGTGCATGGTTTGACGTAGCACCTCATGCATGGTCATGCCACCTGTGTCCAAATCTCATGGTCACTCAGATACCAGAAGCAGGAGGATGGGAAAAGAGGAGAAGCCCCAACTGCCCAAGCAAGACCCTTCTGGAAAGCTCAAAAAGGAAAGAGTAACTCCAAAAAGGAGTATTTTAAATTCCTAGATTAAAAAAATATTTTAGTGAAGTCTTCAAACAGAAAAAAAATGACCTGTCAAAATGCATAAATATTGCTTTAATGGCTTTTCTTAAATCATTAACTCATCTAGGCATTCCACACTGTGCAGTCTCTGTCCTCAACAATGCATTAATATCCATTCAACAAGGGAGAAAATACTGGATGCAGTCAAACATTAGACAAGGTGTTCTATTAAATTCTTCTATTTCTGCAGATTTTATGATCATCTTCATTATGTACGATGCTACTTCCACACATTGCACTTGAAGACTTAATTCAGAAAAAGACTGTGTTTGCCTGTAACCACTTTTTGACTAATCTGTTTCCATTAGACAAAGACTGAAGTTTATTAACTTCTATGATGAATTGACTGGCCTGATAGACAAAGGAAGTGCCATTGTTATTATCTACCTAGTCTTCAGGAGGGCTTTCAACACTGTTTCTCATAAGATTTTCACAAAGAAAATAATGAAAGATGGGCTGGATGAGAAGACCGTGAAGTGGATTGCAAACTGTCCAGGCCCAGAGGGTGCTGATCATTGGCATGGTCTAGTTGAAGGCCAGCAACTAGTGATCTACCCTAAGGGTTAGTGCAAGGTCAAATCCTGTTCAACATCTTCATTAATGATCTGGATGATGGGGCAGAATGTACCCTTTCAACATCAACAATTCTGTGATTCTATGAAATTCAATTCCCATAATATTTACTGAGTCTTGCACAATGTTACATGGTTTTGCATAACCAGGTACATTTAATTTCCTACTTTGTAGGTTTATTAATAGGGTCTTTTCACCTTCATGCTGCCGCTTCAAATCCAACTAGCTGCATGGGTAATTGAAAATGTTTCTGTGAAATGATTACACGACACCCTTTGTAAAACAAATTAATTTCTTAAGAGACTGGATCCACAGTAACTTATACAGTGGGAACTTCCAAGGCCTGCTCCTAGATGTCTTGACTTCTTTTTTCTCATAGGTATAGGAAAAGTCAATTTCCTTAAACATCTGGTGCTCCTAGCATACAGACTAAAAGTTATCTGTCATTTAGAGAGGGAACACTGAAAAGAGAGTGCACCCCATATCCTTTGGACTTCCTCAGTTACCAACAGGAGAAAACAGTTATTTGAGAAAGCTTGAGCTTGTCTTTTGTTGTTGTTGCTTTAGTGAAGTCAGCCCAGAGGAATAAAAGCAGTTAGTAATAAATAATCAAATAGTTCTCTTCAGTCAGTATTTAAGCCCAGTATGGAAATAATGAGGCACAACATGACTTGTGTCTACCTTAAGTCGCCAAAAGAGCTCCCCTAAACATGAGGGTAAAGGAATTAACACAGCAAATAAAAATAACGGTGTTGGGAATACAGACACTTGGCTTTCTTTATCTCTTGTCGGTGTAAACCCCGAAATTGCATATGTATATTTAGCACAAAGTCTATTGGGAATTAAATGTAATGTCATAAAATAAAAATAAATCCCCATCTTTCATTGATCTGAGCCAGGTTACAGGAGGGATTTGTCTGTTAACACACATTGCAGTTTTGCAGAGCAACAGCAAAACAGAAAAATGTCTACTAAGAGAATTTATTTATGGTATTATTAAGAGATGCCTATAAAGAGGCTGCCCTCTTTATAGGTGGAGGATTAACCTATAAAACTGGCTGCCCATACCTGTTTTTAATCTTTTTAGGCAAAATTTCTGTATTTTCTTCATTTCTGGATGATGCCTATTGGAAAAAATATCAGTGGTCTGAGCTGCTTCCCATGTTCATTTTAAGTGGGTTAAACTGCTGCGAAGAGTATCTCTTTCTGCTTCTGTTTCTAAATTCGCTCTTTGTCCAAAACAAGTTATCAGGAAAAGAGGTAGAAGAAATGGGTCTGCTTCTCCCCAGAAAATTGAAAGGAACTTTTTCCCCCTTGAAACTATTCACTACTGTATTCATTTATAACAACTGCAGCTGGACCACAGTCTATTATTCCAGGAGATAAACCTCAACCTGTCTCCACACTCTATTAGTCAGTGAGATTATAATGATAGAAAACAGGTGTATATATCGGGAAAGGAAAGGAAAGAATATTGCTTATCATACCAATTCTATGACCGATTTCCATCAGATGCATTCATTGCTGGTACTTTGTGATGCACAGGAGGTGATTTCAGCAGCATAAATAATTTGGTAAGTGGGTGTTTGGCAACTGATTTGTGACTCTTAAGATGAGCATTGAGAATAGCTCATTAACTGAAACCTTCAAGAAAGCTGAGGTATACCAGCTCACATAACTTTTCTCCCACAGAAAAAATATCAATATTCTAAGACACATATAAATCCTATGTAATACTTATATATTGAAGTGACTTGAAAGGTTTCTTTTTCTATGTATGTTTTTCTTCTATCACTTTAAAATCACTATTATTATGATGTATAAATAGTACAAGAACCATATTTTGCAAAGTGCTCCAGATACAAAATAAAATGTCTGTTATAAAATAATTTAGTTAATTTAAGAGGTAATTAAATTTTCAATTTAAGTCTTTCAACTTTCAACTGCTTTGTTTTAAATATTATTTCCAATTAATTTTAAAATAGCTTCCAGTTACTAAATTTCATGTAGTATTTCAGAAGAATATTTTCTTGTAGTTTGTCCCTATTTAAAACAAGAGAAATTTTGCCTCTGAATTATTGCATTTCATTTAGTTATGGAGCTCATGCTCTTGACTTACTTTACCTTGTATTCTCAGTTTAGGATTTGGAATATTTTGTAAACTTGTGAAAATTAAATCTGTTGATGGGACTGCACTTCTGAAAGAAAAGTCTCAGAAAGGATTGACTATGCTTTCTCTAAATGTCCTAAAAGATTTGACTGATTGCTCTGAGTTTCGAAACAGATCCTGTCCTGAGCACTTTAAGTCAGTGGGAATACGAGGGGTAATGTATTTATTCATAACAGCAGTCTTCTTTCTCACCATCTTTGGGAATCTGGCCTTAATCATTTCCATCTCAAATTTTAAGCAGCTCCATTCTCCAACCAATTTCCTCATCTTATCCATGGCTGCAACAGGTTTTCTGCTGGGCTTTGCCATTATGCCCTACAGCATGGTGAAGTCTGTAGAGAACTGCTGGGTTTTTGGGATTATATTCTGCAAGATTCATTACAGATTTGACTTGATGCTCAGTTTAGCTTCCATTTTCCAAATTTGTTCCATTGCCGTGGATTGTTTTTTTGCAATCTGCCACCCTCTGCATTATTTCAGCACCATGACTGTAGCAGTCATAAAACGAATAGTGGCTGCATGCTGGTCAGTGCCAGTTGCTTTTGCTTTTGGTGTGGTTGTCTCAGAAGCTTATGCTTCTGGAATTGAAGGCTATGAAATGCTGCTTAAATGCTAAGGCTTGTGCCTGATTGTGTTCAACAAACTGTGGAGGACTTTTTTTTTTTATTTACAGTGGTTTATTTGCTCCTACTTGCATTATGATAGGCATTTATGTTAAAATTTTTACTGTCTCCCAAAGGCACACATCAGAGTTGAGTCAGGTATACAGGCTCTCAAAAAATAATAAGAAATATGAGCTTTCTAAGAATAAAGACAGGAAAACTGCTAAGACTTTGAGTATTGTTATACTGGGTTTCTTAATATGCTGGTTTCCTTGGTTTTTTGCAATCTTAATTGATCCATTTTTAAATTTTTCCACTCCTTTGTCTCTGCTTCATTCTCTAAACTGGTTTGGATATCTAAATTCTTTCTGCAATCCATTACTATATGGCTTTTTCTATCCATGGTTTAGGAAAACATTTAAATATATCTTAAAAGGTAAAATATTTAATCCACATTTTCACACAGTAAAAGTTTTTTCTGAAGATCAGTCACAGTAATAGAGTCTATAAGTGAGACTATCTCTAGAAATTAAGAAGAAACAGTGGATTGCTGAATATTCGTGTTTCAGTATGTGTGTAATATGAATTTTATGAGTCAGTCCTGTAGAATTCTTTTTAATTTCAGAAATTATTTACATACAGCCCATAAACTCAGTATTTCACCTAGTCTTGTATTTATGCAGCTAGTCTTTCTTAGGGTTCACTCTTAATGACTCTAAACTGAATGTATCCCAGGATCATTTTGTGAAGAGGGCATTAGCAGATGTATAGTCTCCCAAGCAAATAGAATGGGAGTGAAATTTTGGCTTGAAGTCAATATTTGCCCCTGAAAACAGTAGAATCAGGATTTTACCCCTTATCTTCCATGTGCTTTGTACTTGGGAAGGAGTGCTCGGGAACCAGAGCATGGCTCCCACTCAGCTCTGTGCTTGTCTGGTCTTTGTTTAGACATCAGGCTCCAGATATTATAAAATATGCTTGCTGACTGCTCACCACACCTTCACACCGAACTGGAACCTTTAACTTAAGTCCTTGCCATGCTGACTTCCCTCTGAAATCAGAAAGAAGCACTGTCAACATTCACAGCAGTTACATGTTTAAAGTAAGATTAACTGAGCTGTCTTTACTGAATGCAAGGCACTGAAGTGTTTTTATTACGAATTGTACCCCTGACTTATCTTTTGCCTTATGCCTACAATGTATACTCTACCCTTATTAAAGAGTGACTACCAAAAAGCCATCCACGTTTATCCACTTGCTGGCTAATCACATCTGCACTAGCATGCCATGCCAGTGATGGCTGCTTGTTTTGTTTGCTAAAAACTTCTAAATGGATCTGTGGTAACATGAACACATGCTATTTTGGATCTGGAGAATTCAAATTTCATGTCAGCCCTGAATCACTTAAGACAGCAAGGACCTGGAAGGTCACAGACTTCTCTGATATGTTGTTTAAGGCTCCCACCTTTCCCAATAGAAACATAAACCCCAAGGTCTTTAATTTGACACAAGTTCTCTCTTTGTGCAAAATTGTCACTGGCTGAACAGCCAGACCAGGGAATAGAGCAGAGCTGGATGCAATAAAGTCTTTAGTCACCTACAAGGTAGATAATGTGTTGTCCCATACCATTGCTCCATGCATGCCTAGGGAGACCCCTGGATTAAACACGAGGGCAGCCAGAGCAGTGCATGGGGAGAGCAAGAAAACTGAGCAGCCACGGACTCAGGTCTGGAAAGCTGAATCTCCAACACAGCCTAGCCCTGACTTTCAGAGCCTGTGCTGATGCCTCAGGTGTTTCTAAACTCGTTTTAATCTGGTTTTGCTCCTGCAGTGCATTCCTGGGGGTAAGCTCTCTGGGGAAGCAGAGGGCGACCTTTGCATACAACACCTTTCACAAAACACCTTAGTGGCCAGGGTGACATCTGAGATGTCACCAGGAACTTTCTGGTTCTCCTTTTGGGGCTGAGCCATGTGAGATACACAGTGTTTGGGGGTGATACATAGGGCCTGTAGTGTGTCAGCAATGGCAGGGAGAGGTGAACTCTCTGTAGCAGAGATTGTGTTGCAGCCAGCTATGCCAGATATTGTCTGCACGCAGCTCAAGCTGCCTTGTTCAGAGAAATTTGCATGCCAGATTTGTCTTTGTGTTAAAACTAGGCCGTGGTGGGTTTTTATTGAAAGCTAACAAATTATATATGGTCCCTGATATCCTCCCAGCAGTGAGACCATGAGTCAAATGATGACAAAAAGTTATAACCCTAGTCTCAGAGACAACTACAGATCCTTTTAAAGTGCCTTCACAATGTTTGCTGCCAGCAGTATTTTCCACAGTACTCAAAAATTTTGCAGAGTTTAAATCCCTTCTGTTAGTTTCACAAGAATAAAATGCTGCATAAATGTTAGGTGTCTGTCTCTAAAGAAACATTTAGGTATTTCTGAAAGCTCTTGTAAATATTAAGTGTCTAGCTGGTGACGAGAAACATTTAGGTATTTCTGAAAGCTCTTGTAAGTGTCTAGCTGGTGACACACAATGCAATTGGAGACATTTAAGAAATTATAAAAGTACTTCATTCACATACAGGATAAATAATTTAGAGTCAACCTAGTACCTTACATTTCCTACAGTGACAACTTTTGTCTTAGACAGCACGTCTTGAGGATGTAATATTGACCTGTCTGTGAGGCTTCAGTGTGTCATGTCCTTCTGTGTGTTCAATGTATGTTCTTGGATGTTAAGAAGAGTTAAGAGTATCTACTTAGCTAGTTTTGCTAAACAGCTTGCAACCTGTCAGTAGGTCTTTAGTAGTTCTTCTGGCCAAGGGCTCTTACAGATCTGTCAGATGGTGTAATTTGGCTTTGTGGCATGCCATGCTGTTCTCCCTGTTGTTAAGCTTGATGCTGGTGCTAAACTTGCTGCTAAAAAATACCCTACTGCTTGGCACAAAACCTAGTGCATCAGAATAAAAGGGATTTTTTTCTACAGACCACACCTGCTGGTACACAGGGGAACAAAAGTGTCTGTGTCAGATTTTCGTTTTGTTTTGTTTCGGTTTTTTTGGGGGAGTTTTTTTTTGGTTTTTTTTTTGTTTTTTTTTTCCCCTGAAAAGCATTATCATACTTTAATCTATTTTTCCACACTACACAGCAAACTGTTTTAGCATGAATTCTGGTCTATATGAAATACAGACAGTGTTCTTATTCCTCAGGGAATCAGCCAGAATTGTTAGGATGTCTTGATTCCAGCAAGAGTTGACGTTGCCCTCAGAGGAAGGACAATTCTGGTTTCAGGAGGAAGTTCAAGCTTCCACATCCAGGTGAGGGCCTCAGTCTAGGAGCTCTTCCATGGTCCTTTTCCTTTTTGGTACATCCAAGTTTGAATATACAGGACAACTAGATGTGGTTAAGAGTATCCCACCCAGGAAATCTGCCCTCAGACTCTCAGCCTCCCTGCTGCAATGCCTCAAACAGCAACATTCAGAGTTCTCTTCAAAGACAGTGATTTTTATTCAGAAAAGTGCTGTATTTTTACCCTCAAATGATTTGCAGATCAGGAACTCGCAGGTATTCTCTGCAGTGCCTGCTTGTGGTCAGAATAGTAAAACTCTATTTTATTATTTTAATATTTTCTATCACAGCCTAAACATTGAGGAAGGATTTCTTGACCTCTTATGGAGTCCGCAGGCAAAAACAGCTTTAACAAAAAGTGTCAGCAACACATTATATTAAGACGGGGTAAAAAAAAATAAGCTAAATATCTAAAAACTTCAAGAAATAGATTGGTTTCATTTTTGCAATCTTTTGGCATAAAGTTTCAAAATTGATTCTTCAAGATTTAAATTAAAAATGTTGGTTTACAGGCATTAATTTTTCTACTGAAAACTAAAATATACCAAAGAAGTCAGATAAGTTCAGGTAAATTAGTGCTTAATCCACTTTTCAGCTCAGCTACAATATTTTTAACAAAAAAAACCCTATAACATTTTAATCAGCTTCAGTGAAAACTAGGTAAATGAAAGTAACTGTTCCAAGAAATTCCTGACAAAACAGCATATACAGCAATAACAGCAATATATTACAGTAATTTATTTGTTGTTCTGTTTGCAGAACCTAATCAAATTATCTTCCTTCTGGATCAGTTGTGTGTCAGCCTTAATGGCTGCAGCAGCAACAGAACTGAAGCTGAAGCTGAACTTCATCTTCAGAAGCTGAAGTTACAACCAACACTGACATTAGAAAGGATGTGCAGTTTCTCAAAAGACAGCCATGAATCTTTTTAGCTGTATATAAACCAAGAACTTTCCATTTTTTCCTGTAAGAAAGGAGGAATGTTTCCACTTTTATTTTTAATTACCCATTTTATTTTTAGTTACCCATTTCTACCAAAACACAGGATGGAGAAAAAAGACTCAAAAAAGAGATTGTGTACTAAAGGACATCTTTTTCCCTAGAATACTTTCCCCTACAGACCTTTTTCTTCAATGTGTAAGTATTTTTTAATCTGTTTTTTTTTTTCCCCTCAGGACTGTCTGTGTTGCAATACTTTGTTGAATACCTCAAGTTGCCAAATCACAGCTTCATCCAGGCTCTGGAGCTCACAGCTGGTGTAGTATTGGTCTGACTTTGTTAAGATTTCAGGGCCTGGAAATGCAACGTGTGGGCTTTGCCCCTGTGCTATGTGCACATACAGGTGTGGAACCATCCTGTCCAAAATGGTGGAAATAGATCTATGAGTGATTCCACCCATCATCTCCAGAAATCCAGTCTCCCAACAAGTTTCTGGTCTGTTCCATGGCCAAAACGGACATTTCCCCACTGTCATGCTATGGCACACAGCATAGCCAGCTCCATGAAATCATGCCAGTACCTTGGGGCTCCCTCCTACAGCCCCTGCACATCTTGTGATGCAGTTGTGTGCAGCACCTCACCTTCCTGTTGGATTTCTCTCTCTTGTCTCTAATTATACCATCTTCCACCCATTTCCTTAGATCACCAAAACCGCCATCCCTGTGAAAGAAGTAATTTTCTTAGATAGTTTTTAAACTTTATTCTTATTAACCTTTAGCTTGGTTTTCTCAGGGTTAAGTACTAGCTGGTTTGTACAGTTCTGGTTTGGCTTTTTCGCTGTTATTGTTGGTTCATTAGTTGGTTTTGTTGTTGTTGTTCTTCTTCTTGACTACCTTTCTGCACCAGTTGAAATTTTTACTAACTTCTCAGCACCTAAGGACTTGTGCAATGACACCTTCTGGATGAATTATTTCAGCTCTGCCTGCTGGTCTATAATTTATACTTTATCATTTGATTAGAAAACACTTTGAAAATGATCACTGCAGTTGCAATACTCAGACTACTATTTTCAGTGTACTCTACTGCCTTCCTGTTCTATTCTTTATAAATTTATTAGCAACTCTTGGAATTCCTTTCAGAAAACTTTGCAAATTTTTATATAGGTTCCTTTATCTTTTCTTTATTTGCATTTACTGTCACATAAAGTAACAGG